CCACACCCCCAGCCATATGAACCTCCTGGGAGAAGAATGAGGGATTAGTTTAGGCACAGGGGATTCTTGGAGCACTTCCCACTACCACCACCACTGAAGCCAAAGTTAGAGTCATTTCCTCATAGTATCTCTGCACAGGGAAGGAAGAACTTAGGTTGTTATGTTGACCTAAAACAAATAAAACAGCCAGTTATTTTACGAGTAAAATGGGTTTATGTGGGAATAGGCAAGGATTGCAGTTGGAGACATGCAATCTATGGTTAACCACACGCAAGTCCAGAGAACAAAGGAGAGGTATATTGTTTCATAGGGGAGAAGGGGGAGTTGGGAAGGGCTGTTATAAACAGTCTATTGGAGGAAACTGGGAGTTTGAAGTATAGTGGCTTTTCATTGGCTGAGTTGTGACAGTCTCTGGCTGAGCTGTTGAGCAAGGAGAAAATCTTCTTTTCTCCTGCTGGGGTAGAAAAGCAGGATCACTTCCTGCCAGAGATGCAAGGTAGGTCTCTTCCTGTTGGGGCCTGTATTGACCTTGAGTGGTAGGTATGTGAGAGCTCCCCCTTCTGGCCTCCCAACTCCATTTTATAATTTGTGTGTGTGAGGAAGATTAGCCCTGAGCTAACCATCTGCCGCCAGTCCTCCTCTTTTTGCTGAGGAAGACTGGCCCTGGGCTAACATCCGTGCCCATCTTCCTCTACTTTGTATGGGACAGTGCCACAGCACGGCTTGACAAGTGGTGTGTCGGTGCGCGCCTGGGATCCGAATCCCGGGCCGCCCCAGCGGAGCGCGCGTGCACTTAACCGCTATGCCACCAAGTCAGCCCCCATAACTCCATTTTATTTTTTTTAGTTGTTTTTTTTTTTTTTTTAAAGATTTTATTTATTTTATTTTTTCCCCCCAAAGCCCCAGTAGATAGTTGTATGTCATAGCTGCACATCCTTCTAGTTGCTGTATGTGGGACTCGGCCTCAGGATGGACGGAGAAGTGGTGCCTCGATGCGCACCCGGGATCCGAACCCGGGCCACCAGCATCGCAGCACGCGCACTTAACCACCAAGCCACAGGGCCAGCCCTTTTTAGTTGTTTTTATTTTTATTTTTTTTTGTGAGGAAGATCAGCACTGAGCTAACATCTGATGCCAATCCTCCTCTTTTTGCTGAGGAAGATTGGCCCTGAGCTAACATCCATGCCCATCTTCCTCTACTTTGTACGGGATGCCGCCACAGCATGGCTCTACAAGCAGTGCATCAGTGCGCGCCCGGGATCCGAACCGGCGAACCCCAGGCTGCAGCAGCGGAGTGTGCGCACTTAACCGCTTGCGCCACCCAGCTGGCCGCCACCCATAACTCCATTTTAAATGATATTTCTATTTATTAATTTTCACAGTTGGGATAGGCAGAGCCCCCACTGCACACCACCCTCCCTACACATAGAAAAATATATCTATAAGGGAAACTAGGGTGTTTGGAGAATCTAGAATCTTTTACCCTTACATCTTGCTTGTCTATTTCTAGTAGAACTGATCACACTTTATTATCTAGTGATGATCTGCTTTCCTCTCTCTCTTTCCTGTTAGACCATATATCTAATTCAGCTTCACATTTCTGCCAGTGCCCACCTGAGGGCTCAAGCTATAATGGCAGCTAACATTTATTGTTTGTTATGCATTAGATACTGTGCTAAGCCCTTTTCAAGAATTCTCTCACTTCATTCTCAAGACAACACTGTGAAATAGATACTGTCATTAGCCCCATTTTAGAGATGAGAAGAGTGTGTCTTGGAGAGGTGAAGTAACTGCTCCAAGGGCATATCTGCTATACCTTCTCCCTTGGTGAATAAGTGAATGAGTGAATAAATGCATGATGTCTCTCTCATAGGGAAGGGGACAGATCCCAGGGGTCTTCAGAGACAAATAGGTGGGCAGGCTCCACATTGGTGATATAAAGTTCTATTCTTTTTTCACCAGTCAAGCATTGTACTGGGCTGGAGTGGACAAGGAGGAAGCAGGACAGCCTCATGTCGTGTGGACTGTTCTCCTCTCAGGCTGCAGACAGTGAAGATCTCTGTATGCTGCCTGTAATATTGGGATATAGTAACCAGCTTCTGGCCAGAATTCCTAAAACCTTTGTAATTTCCTAAGCAATAAAGGTGCTAGGAGCATCTTTGTTCTAATGAGGCAACTCTTGGTGGGCTCCTGGATAGCTTCAGGAAAGGCCTGGTCACCAGAAGGACCAAGTCGTGATTAGAAGGTTGGAACTTTCAGCCCCTCTCCCCATCCTCCTGGGAGGGGAGGGGGCTGAAGACTGAGTTAATCAATCATGACTACGTGTTGAAGGCTCCATAATAATCCCTGAACGACAGGGTTAGGAGAGCTTCTAGATTGGTGAACACATCCACGTGCCAGAAGGGTGGTGCACCACAACTCCATGGGGACAAAAGCTTCTGTGCTCGGGACCCAGACCTTGCCCTGTGTGTCTCTTCATCTGGCTGTTCATCTGTATCCTTTATCATATCCTTTATTATATAATAAGCCGGCAAGCATGTTTCCCTGAGTTCTGTGAGCCATTCTAGCAAATCATTGGGCTGAGGAGGTTGTGGGAACCCTGATTTATAGAAGTACAGGTGACTTGGACCGGCCCCGTGGCTTAGCGGTTAAGTGCGCGCGCTCTGCTGCCGGCGGCCCGGGGTTCGGATCCCGGGCGCGCACCAACGCACCGCTTCTCCAGCCATGCTGAGGCCACGTCCAACATACAGTAACTAGAAGGATGTGCAACTATGACATACAACTATCTACTGGAGCTTTGGGGGGAAAAAAAGGAGGAGGATTGGCAATAGATGTTAGCTCAGTGCCGGTCTTCCTCAGCAAAATGAGGAGGATTAGCACAGATGTTAGCTCAGGGCTGATCTTCCTCACACAAAAAATAAAAAAAAAGCAAAAGAAGGTGACAACCTGGGACTTTCGATTGGCATCTGAAATGGGAGGATCTTATGGAACTGAGCTCTTGCTTAACCTGTAGGATCTGACACTAACACAAGGTAGATAGTGTCAGAACTAAATTGAATGTGAGATACCCAGCTAGTGTCAGAGAATTGGTTAGTGTGGGGGAAAACCCCACATGGCTGGTCACAGAAGTATTCTGTGTGAGTAGTAAAGGAGAAACACAAGAGTTTTTCTTTACACTGCCCTCAGATGGGTGGCTGTGGGGGGTTGGGGGTGAGTAGGTTCCAAGGGGACACAAACATGGATCCCTTCCCATCCTCCCACTTGAGGACATTTCCTGGAGAAAAGTTGTGCTGGACCCTAAAGGATAGTTGGGATTTACACAAGGAGAGGAAGGTAAGAGAAGTGCATGAGGGAAACAGTAAATATTTATTAAATGCCTATCATGTGCTTGGTACTATATTAATGCCAAAAATACGACAGTGAGCAAGACAGACCCCACTCCTGCCGTTGTGAAGCTTACAGTCTAGTGGGAGAGACAGACATGAAAAATAACCCCCTCTACAAGTGTGTAATTGTAATCTGCAAGAGGTATTATGAAGGAAAAGTAATAGGAGAGTTTATGTGTGTGTGAGGGCTGATCTAACCTGTAGAGTGGAGAGAGGCCACTACGGAGGAAGGGGCATCTGAGCTTGGATTTGACGGATAAGTAGGAGTTAACTAGGGGATGATGAGGGCATGGGCTAAGAGCATATCAGAAAGAGAGTACATCATGTGCAAGGACACAGGAGGGAACAACAGAAGTTTAAGGAACTGAAAAGACACTAGGAAGGCTGGAATGCAGGGGCACAAAAAGGAGTGGGAAAGAGGGACAGGTGGGGGCAGATCTTGTAGGACCTTGAGCCCAAACTAAGAATTTGGGCCTTTATGGAAAATAATTGAAGGATTTTATTTATTTATTTAATTTTTAATTTTTTTGCTGAGGGAGATTAGCCCTGAACTAATATCCATTGTCAATCATCCTCTTTTTTTTTTGGCTTGAGGAAGATTAGCCGAGATAACATCTGTGCCAATCTTCCTCTATTTTGTATGTGGGAAACCTCCACAGTATGGCTAGTGAGTAGAGTAGGTCCTCGCCAGGGTTCCTGGCCTGGGAACCTGGGCTGCCCAAGCAGAGCCCGTGGAACTTGAACCACTTGGCCATGGGGCCGGGCCATAATTGAAGGATTTTAAACAGAAAGTTCCATGATAATTTTGTCCCCTTTAAAAAGATTTCTGGTTACAAGATGAACAATAGGCCAATTAGCAGCCCTATACTAGTCCAGGGTAAGGAATGACAGTGGCTGGATTCGATTGCAGCAGAGATGAGCAAAGCTAGAGAGATATGAATAAATAAGGTGTTTGTGGGGAGTGAATCAGTCACCTTCCCCATGACTGATGGCTCTATGGCTGAATTCCCTCATTCACTTGATAAATGCTTGATGCCCAGGTTAAATCTCAGCTCAGGCCCTAAACCTGTCTGGGCTCAGGGGTCCTCATCCCTAAAACGATAAAACTTGACGTCAGGGGACAAGGCCTAGCAGGGCTCAGCTAGTGTCGGGGACAGCTGCACGGCCAGTTCTTCGGAAAAGAACCCCTCTATTCGGCCCTTACCACCAGAACCCTTTCCTAGTTCGGCGAAGTTCTGTCAGGACAGGAACTCCATTCCCCACTCCCACCGAAGTAGGCTCACCCTCCTGCCCCTGCCTGGACCAGTGCGGACTTTCCAAACTTGCCCTCCAGAGAAGTGAAGGGGCTAAGTTCCGGTTCCACTTTGGGAAGTTTCCAACACAAAGTTGGAAGCTATCAGACCGACAGTCAGTTGGGAATGGCTCTGCCTCCGTCTCTGGCTCCCTAGTCCCTCTGTGCTGCCTCCACCCTGAAGCACAGGAATACAGACAGAGCGGATGGAAATCCAACGCCCACTCGCCGCTCTGTAGCGTGGTGGGCAGGAGGGCGGAGCGGGCCTCTGTGACGTCCCAGGACCACGCCCCTCTGGGAGGGCACTGCGCCTGCGCCAGAACGGCTGCCTCGCTCCCGGAAGTGGAGGTTCTACGCGAACAGTGCCGCTGGGTCTGGGTGCCTGGAGGCAGAAGCGCTCGCGGAGCTCGCCCGTCGGCCCCCGATCGCCATGTCGGCCTTCGACACCAACCCTTTCGCGGACCCAGTGGACGTAAACCCTTTCCAGGTACACCCTCCAGCTCACAGCACTCTCTAGTGCCAAGGGCCGCCGCCCGGGCCTCTTTCGCCAGAGCCGGGAGACGTGGCGTAGGAGGGATGGGTTGTGTGTCCAATGGGAGAGCGAGCTCTGAGGGCTGGCCTATCGTAGTGTCTGGGGGGGGCGGGACTAGCAGCAGGTGGAATTGCGGAGGGGGCGGGGCTCTGTAGCCTGGGAAAAGGTGGGAACTTCTAGCTCCAGGGACGCTGCCCCTCTGACTCGAGACTGCTGGGAGAGGGGACTAGAGCAGTGACGGTCAGGGATATCCCGTAGCGTCAGGGAGAGAAGCGACTTCACCTGAGGAGGAAGTGTGGGTACCACATCCCGCAGTCTTGGAGAGACACCTGCCTTGAGTCACTTTAGGAGAGGGAGTGACACCAACATAATGAGGAAGTGGAAGCCTCTGGTGGGATGGAGAAATATGAGAAAATCCCAAGACACCACCCACCCACCCACCCAACACCAAACTAACCTATAAGGTATAGGAGAACCGTTGAGATTCGTCAGGAAAGAAAGGCTGGGAGAGGGTGAGAAGGTAACCCAAGCTAAAATATGGCCTTGATAAGAATTCCACACCTTGGTCATAGGTTTAGTTTGGACTGGATTTTGGCCAGATAGGAGAGCCCAGGTTAGGGAGAGAGGAGAAGTGAGGGGGCTCTAAGGGTCTTGAAGCACAAGGAATGTTGGTCTGATGGGCCTGTGTGTGGTGGCAGGGTAGTTGAGACGCACTGACCCATGAGCTGCCTGACCTTTTGAACAAGTGATCGAGGAAGAAACACTCTTCCTACTTAAAGTCAAGACCTTTCTGCCTTTGAGCTGAGAGCACAGGGGTGTTCCTTTTCCCTGATGTAGGGTTAGGACTCTTGTTAGCTCCAAAGCTTCTGTGCCTCTTGTTTCATGTCTGCTCGAAACCAGTTTTAGGGAAGCTTGCCTTTGCTGACTGGTGATTTATGAGCCCCGAGGTTTCTGCTCTGTCAGGATTTCACCAGGCATGTGAACTCATCCTGCTTGTACTTTATTTTGGTCATGACTGCTTCAAAGTTTCCTGCAGGTGTAAAGGAAGTCCTTGGAAGGGTCCTGCCTGTGACACAGCATGAGCTTTCCCACCTTGAATCCCTTCAAGGGTCAGAGCAAAGACAAAGGAGACTTGAATGAAGCAATTATACACTGTCAGGAGAGTGAAAAATTTATGCTTCTTTCTTGTCTCAAAGTGACTTAGCCAATGGGAGCCCTCAAGGCAAATTTTGGTAGCCTGTTCTTTGTAACATCAGGGAATTCCAAACATTCTTCTTGTAGCTTAATGCTTCTTTACATTTGCAAGACCTTGTCTCTTATGTAATGCAGTCATCTCTAGTAGTTGAGTGAAGAAAAAACATTTGCATTTTTTTCTGCCCGTATCTTCTGGTAACTAACTGTTTTGCTTTAATTACAAAACTGCTGTATAATAATGGAGTTTGAGTTTTAGTAAGGCTCTAGTAGCCTTTTGGTGTGTGTGCTCTGTGATGATTTGCCTTTTTAATTTTTGCCCTGTCAGAATCAGAAATAAAATGCCTGCTGCTATCTGACAGTCATAGGCAGTCTGCTGTCTAAAGATGCAGAGAGCTTGTCCCCAGTGCTAGCAGTGGGCAAGATAGTTGGCCTGAGCTCTGCCCTGTATTAATAGCAGCTTGCAAGTCTTAAACCACATCTTCAGCCCCAGAAATGATTGTGCACACTGTGGTAGAAGTAACTTCTGCATTCAAGCAAGACAGTCTGTCCACCAGGCAGCCTCAGGATATGGCTGGACAGGAAGCAGCTGTGGTCCTGTAAACAGCAACATCTGGTGGGAATTCTGTGTGAGAAGAAGAGAGCTGGCTGGCTGCAATTTTGCTCCTCTTTACCCTGGGCTAAGTTTTTCCTCTTGGCGCACGCTTGTGTAGGGAGAAGGAGCTTTGGACGTGAGGCCTCCAGTCTCCTTCTCCTGGAAAGCTGCCCTCCCTCTCCTTGTGATGGTAGTGTCTGTTTCCCTGACTACCAGGGCTGGGACATTGGGAGGGTGCAACCCTTGGGTGACTGGGTGTGAGCCCAGCTTCATTTACCCAGGTGTTGGCACAGAGCTCAGAAGAGAGCAGGTGGAGAGGGGATAGGCTCAGAAACTGTCACACCTAGTCAACCTTCAGAGCAGAGTCGTTTTTTCCGTCACTCCATGGTGGATTACGAAAATATACTTAGCGTTCAGAGTCCATGGTGGACTATGAGAGCTAGGAACATCCTCAGAAATCTGTTCTAACCCCTTCAGTTTAGAGATGAGGAAACCAAGACCCCAGTGAGGATGAGACATGCCAGAGTCACCAGCTAATTAGCAGCAGGAAGGAGCCCAGACCTGGGTCTCAGTCCTAGGACAGTGCTGTTTTATAAGTTTTTGAAGCTCAGATATTGGTCTTAAACTGCCTTGGGGTTATTTAGGTCAGCTGAGGAAAGAATGTAACTTCACCACTGTCACCATTCTTGAAATGAGAATGGTGGTTTCACCACTACTGGTAGTGGTGAAACTAGTAAATTAGTATTAGCTAACCTATTTTTTTTTTCCCAGTGGGTGGGAATGGAGTAATGCAGATTGTATTGTGCTTTTAAAGACAGTACTTGATAGCAGCATATGTTCTGAGTAATAGCAGTCCTGAAAGCTGCTCAGGGTTCTGGGGTCAAGTAAGTTTCAGAATCATTACTTATTCCATTTTTCTTGAAGATTGACAAGGCCTGTTTGTTTGTTAAAGGTTCTGAGAAATCCTATGATAAAGACATTTGCTCAACTTTATTTGACCCAGCATTTCTCAAAGTTATTCAACCATGGAATCCTTTTTCTGTTAACTCTTGTAATATCCCCTGAAACTCTGGGTGGGCCTTTAAGTTGACTTCTATACCCCTGTTCTTTATCCACCTCTCTCTCCCACCACCACCCCACACTGTGGGCATGGGCTTTTGTGACCTCTTCCTTGCGTATAGTTATAATTGGGATTATTAGAAAACTTCCTGCACAGGAAGAGCTGTAAATAGAGAGTTAAGTCACAAGAGTGCAGCAGAGGTCTTACCAACTCCTAGGAGGAAACAGGAAACTGCAAGCCAAGTGTTGCTGATTTCACAACTTTCACTGGCACACCCTCATCCCTCTGTTAATGATGGCGCATCTGCTTTGTACCCTCTGGGTATGTGGGTCCTTGCTTTGGACTGATTCCAACATGCCTGCTCCTGAAAGGTTCTCATTACGTCCTGTAGGGTGATGAAGAGGTAGAGAGTTAAAGGTTGGCATTTTCCTGAGCGTTTTATTTCCCAGCAGTCCACTAACAAGCAGATCACCCAGGCGAATGCCTGGGCTGCTGTCCTCCTCAGCCTCTCTGCCAGATTACGCAGGCAGGTGGCATTGATCTTGAGGAGGGGGAGTGGACTAGCTGGTGGTGCTGAACAGAGAAAGCCTTTCAGTGTTCGTGAGTTGCCAGATCACACAATATCACTTTCACACGTTGCCTCCTCGCAGTTAAAAGATAATCTCAGTGGCGTGGCTGCTTCCCAAGGATTTAAAACATTTCTTTCCTGTGGGAGGAGAAAGTGGTGGCAGAAACAACGTGATGTGGGTGTGAACAAAGTTACAAGGAGTTCCCTGCACAGACACTAAGTGCTTTGCCACTTCCCAGAGAGAGTCGGCTCTAGCTTGATTGTAACTTTGGGAATTCTCAAAACCACCAGATGGACCTGGTAGAACTTTCCTGTGGAACAGGAGCATTGTCTCAAGAAATTTGAAAATGGCAATGTTCATATAGGTTAACTGACTCCAGACAGCTGCCTAGGTAGGGGGGTGGCTCCCTGCCTTTATGGTTGGCACCTGGAGCCAGGTGGGTGCTAGAAAGTGCTTGGCCAGAGACACAGGTGAACTTTGACCCTATAGTTCTGTTTTCTTTGGAGCCACTTGGTGTAGGATAGTACTGTGTTCAGAGAAATGGTAATATTTAACCAGGACAAACAAGAGGTACTTGCCAGTCATTCAAAGAAGAGTGCCATGAATATTAGCACGGTGTGACTGTCCAGCAGTGCCCCTTGAGATGCTGACACATTCGTGCATATCACTGAGCCCCTGCTGCTCCGAGGGCCCATGCAGGAGATCAAGGTGAATGGGCACATGGCCTGCCAAAGCTGCTCATCTGGCAGGAGAGCTAAGAGCTGCTTGCTGATCATGACAACACTGTGGGTAGGATAAAGGCAGTTACAACTCGCCAAAAGGAGCTGTGCGGGATCTGAGGAGGAAGGGCAGAATCCTGTAGTAGATTCTGTATTGTAGGGCTGAGAGCAGAAAGCCTGGCAGGTGAGAAGAGAGGGTATTTCAGGTGAAGGACCACCAAGAATCAAAACTCACTTGTGCATGCTGTCACTCCCACAACGGCAGGCACCTCCTCACTCTTAGATCTTGTGGTCTCTTTGGGAGCCATGGGCCTGGGATATGTCTGCTGCTTGTGACACCCGTGCTCGTTTGGCCAGGCTCTCTGTCCTTGGCCTCTTTAACACTGGTAACTCTCACCTCCTTCGGCCTGTTTTGACTTCCTGTCTTGTACATTTAGGGATGTCGTGGAATTCTGTCCTTGACTTTATTCTCACCGTATACTCTTTGAGTTATTTCTTCTATTTCTATGGCTTCAGATTAGCATCTACGTACCAGCGATCTCAGATCTAGAACTCTAGCTTGCACCTCTCTCCTGAGCTTCAAACCAGTATTTCCAACTATCTCTCTTCTCAGATCCTCTCCCTGCTCCCGCATACCCACTCCTGAAAAACCTGTTTCTCTTCTCCCATGATCACTTATCTTCCTCAATGGTGGCACTGTTCACCCATCACCCAAGCTAGCAACACCAGACACTCAACTCCTTCCTCTGCTTTCCCTTCCCCTCTTTCTTGCCCTGCAGTAACTCTGTACCCTGACCAACCCAGAGAGTAGCCGAGCCTGTGGCATCTACTTGAGAAGGGTCTCAAGTCTGTCCCCTCTTTTCCATCCCCAGCTATCATACCCTAGGTCAGTCCACACCATCACCCATGTGGACTGTTGTGTCCCACCATCCTCCTTCCCTGCACGTTGCACTCTCCTCACTGCTGGCAGAGATGACCGTGGCACTCCGTGCTCACAGTCTCTACTTGTCCTTCAATGCTCGTGGGGCAAAGTCCAAACTCCTGCAGTCTGGCCCAGCCTCTTCTTTAGGCTGGTTCCCTGGTGCTCCTGGCTCCTCTCTCTCTATACCCACTCTGCTCCACAGCCCCCAGAACCTTCTCCTCTTCCTTGAACACATGCAAACCCTTTTTAAAGATGCTGTGTCTTTGCAAATGCTGCTCTTGCCTCCCTCCTTAGTGCTTGCTAAACTTCTTTCATCTCTCAAGATCCAACTCAGTTGCCACCTCAGTACAGCCTTCCCTGACTCTCCCCAACAGCTTAGTCCCTCCCTCCTCCGTGGTCCCGTTGCGTTTGCCCTCACCTTGTTACAGCACTGCTCATGGGCTGTCACTTCTTGCCCTGGCTTCTGTTTTGTTCTCTGTACTATTTGCTTCTTGGGGGCAGGAACCAAGGCTTTTTCTTGGTGTCCTAGCCCTGCCTTGGTGTGGAACGGTTTGTGGAGGGAGTAAACAGACAAAGGTGGAAGGAGATGTCAGGTGGCTCAGTTTGACTGAGGACAGACTGCTGAAGGGAGTGCTGGTGCCAGGTGATGGAGGCCTTGAATGCCGGGCCAGGCAGTTCAGACTCCCTTTTCTGGACAGGTCTGTACATCACTGCTGTGGCAGGGAGGCAGGCCCGAGAGTGCACCTTGCTCATTTGGTGGGTTCTCAGGCTCTGTTTTTAAAAATATGTGTGTGTGTGTGTGTGTGTGTGTTTTTAAAGTAAAAATAACATAATCACAATATAGAAAATTTGGAAAACAAAATAAATCATCCATATTTCTAACAGTCTTTTATAACCATTGTTATTTTGATGTGTTTTCCTGCCACACTTTTCTTTTCTTTTTTTTTTTTTTTAGATTTTATTTATTTATTTTTTCCCCCCAAAGCTCTAGTAGATAGTTGTATGTCATAGCTGCACATCCTGCTAGTTGCTGTATGTGGGACGCGGCCTCAGCATGGTGGGAGAAGAGGTGCGTCGGTGCGCGCCCGGGATCCGAACCCGGGCCGCCAGCAGCGGAGCGTGTGCACTTAACTGCTAAGCCACGGGGCCGGCCCCCTGCCACACTTTTCATATGAGTACTTTTGATAAAATTGTCATTTGGTATTCATGTAACAAAGCCTTTTCTATATTCTGCCCTGCGTTCATAGCTGTGATTTTAATGGCTGTTCAGGCCATCAAGGGGATGTGCACCAAAACATACTTGTGTTCCCTGTCATTGGATATTTAAATCATTTCCTGCTTTTTGCTCCTCTTGTAAATACTGGTGCAATGAATATCTTTGCAGATACAGATTTTTACATGTTTTTGTCATATTTCCCTAGGATGGATTCTCAGGTTCTGGGGCACAGAGTCCCAAGGTTACCTGTGCTCTTCGTGCACTGGGGACCCAGCCAGCCAGCCTGGGGCTGATTGCCCTTTCTTGTTCTATGACACACAGCCTCGTCTCCAAAGCAGATAGGATTTCACAGAGGTCCCAAAGTATTGGTGACTCTCTGCCTTCCAGAGAGAATGGCTGGGTTTTTTTAGTCCATGAGGTATTTATTTAATGTGTTTATTTGGAGCCTGAAATAAACCCCACCCTGGGAGCTTGGGTGGAGTGTAGGGTGAGAAAGCAAGGAAAAGTCACAGAGAGCTCGGGTGCAGCCAGGACCTGTGAAATGCTTGGGAAGAGATTGCCAGACCAGTGAAAACAAGTGTGTTTTTCAAGGCCCTTCCTGGCAGAGCTCTAGCCTAACTCTGCCTCTTTTCTCTCAGGTCCCACACACCCCAGCTACACACAGGTGTTCCCCTGCCCCAGAGCTGTAGTGGGCCTTACTGACTGAGCCTTGGTTCTTCTTGGAACCCTGCCTCCCTCAAAGCCATCCCTGGGCCTCCCCTCCCATCCCCTCCCCTCCTGTCTTCATTCCACCCTGGGCTCTTGTGATGTGTGCACTTGTCTCAGCTACCAGATTGTGGACTCCAGAAGGACAAGAGCTGTGTCCTGTTCATCTTGGTGTGTCCCTAACACTGTTTTTCACTGTTCACTGAATGAAAAGAACCAAGTTCAGGAGCATTTTATTATAAATTCAGTAGAGGGCATTAGCTAGTCTGAGTCCTTTGGGCACTGAGGGGGTTTTAGGTTACTTCTTTGTAGGTGAAACTTAGCTCTCACTATCCTTTTAAATAACTACTTGACCCACTTATGAGCCATTTGATGCTCGGTGAGCAGGAAAGAAGGATGCTGCTGCTGACTTCTCTTTATGACTCAGAGTAAAAGCTGAGGGTCCTCATTCAGGCCAGTCAGTGTGGTCCTTACTTGCAAGACTCTCTGCATGTGTCCTACCAAGGGTCTTCCCCAATAAGGACTTCTCTGAAGTCCAGGAATAAAGAAAAGAGCAGAAGTAGTCATCCCGGTCACTCCTGGTGCCCTTGTCAGTGTCGCTCTGGAGTAGGGTTTGTTCATTTAACCACACATTGATTGAGCACCTTCCATTTGTCAGGCACTACCTTGGGGATGCACTGCTGAACAAGGTGGACCCAGGCCTTGCCCTCTTAGGTCTACCACTCGTGTCTTTGGAGACAGACGGACTTGGAATCAGAATTGGGCTCAGCCAGTACCCCTGAGATCTTGGATGAGCTACTTCCCCTCTCTGAGCTGAGTTTTCTCCTTCACAGGGTGGTCTTCAGGTTGAATGAGGAGGTGTGTTATAGCTTTTCTCAGCCAGGGTTCCACAGTTGAGCCACAGAACACAGAAACTGATTGGAGTGACTGTTTTCTCCATTCTCTCAAGGATGAAATGTAACCAGGACCGTTCTAGATGCACAGGAGAGAAGTCAAGTCATTCCAGACAGTGGATGCCTTAGAGCAGTGGAGCTTAATTCTCTCGAGGAACCAGGTGGAGAAAGGCTGGTAGAACCTTCTTTTTTGACGACTTGACACAGTGGGCACTTGTGGGGTGACTAGAATTTCACAATAGCATCGTTGTGTGGTAAGCCTGGCACATAGTAGACACTCAGTAAATGTCAGCTCCCTTCCTCAGTCTCTCCTCTTCCCTCCCTTTCCCACCAGGCCTCAGCTTCTCTTGAAGCCACACACATCTTTCAGAAAGAGTCCAGGTTTCCTCAGATGGAAGATACCCATGTCTCTCAGAGTGGTCCGGGCTTCTCTTCCCAGGCAAGGTGCTTCTGGGTGCTGGGGTGGCTGCTGTGATGCAGGTGCCCCCCCACCATGCCCCAGCATTTGGTCAGTACCTCCTAGAGAAAGTAGAGGAGGGCCTACAGCATGCAGCATTTATTCTCAAACATTACCTGAGCTTCTGCTCTGCATCAGACCCTTCACCGAGCACTAGGGAGCCAGAGGTGTTAGACACAGAAGCCCCTGGGTGCAAAGTTTACAGCCTGCTAGTGGAGACAGGATTTGTTTATGGTGAGCCTGGTGAGGGGTCTAGGGCCAAGTCTTTAAGATTTTAGAAAAAGAAGGAAGGATCAGTGTGGACAGGGTAATCAGCCCCTCCATATCCACCCCCTACACCTGCCGCCGAATCCTCTTCTGGGTGACATTGGTAAAGGAAATGACATCTCTGAGTCTGGAGGTGCCTGTTAAACATGTGCGGGGGCTCGCCCTGTGGCGTAGCAGTTAAGTGCGAGAGCTCCGCTGCTGGCGGCCCAGGTTCGGATCCCGGGCACGCACCAATGTGCTGCTTGTCAAGCCATGCTGTGGCGGCATCCCATATGAGGTGGAGGAGGATGGGCACAGATGTTAGCCCAGGGCCAGTCTTCCTCGGCAAAAAGAGAAGGATTGGCGTGGATGTTGGCTCAGGGCTGATCTTCCTCACACACACACAAAAAAAACGTGTGCACCTCGGCCAGGTGTGTATGCCAGCACCCGAAACTGCTACCAGAACCACCTCTCTGTCCTCTGTCCTGTAGTGACTCAAACTCGAGTAACCAGTTCCTTGAATGGTGGATCTGATTTCAGTAACTTCAGCTCACTCACCAAGCTGTGGCTTGGTGTCTGCTGAGTCTGAAAGGGGAACAGATACTAAGCCCCAAATCTTTCTTGCAGGAAGCCAGCCCAGTAATTCTGGGAGAAATCTACTAGTTGTTCAGCCAACAGATAATCTCAAGGCCAGTTCCTCCAGCTTCAGGTGGCCTCCTGAACCTCACCTTGTCACTTTGTCCAAGTTGTAGGAGCCACCAAGCAGGGATGGTGTCCAGCAGAAAGGACATAGCCACATTGCCTCTTCACAGAGGAGGTTGGGTGGGAGTGCAGAGGATGAGGCCCATCCAGAGACAAGAAGTGAGTTGGTGCTGTGCACTCAGCTCTAGGCGAGGCCCTGGGGCCAGTTGGACACCGTCTCGACTCTAGGAACCAGTGGCCCAGGTGGGAAGATGAGAGTTAGCATGTGTGAAAAAGTCAGAGAACACGTTCAGTGCTGACCTTCAGCTCTAGAAATGTTCAGAATAGGGAGCCAGTGCCCACTTTGAGACCAAGGACAAGTACTGCACCAAGGTGAGTGTCTGTTCCGACATCTAAAAATTGAGGGGCTTGTTCTCTGAGGGTCTGTCTAATGTTAACAATGTGTTTAAGAATCCTGTCTATGGAGGCTTCCTGGAGGAGGTGAGGCTGGGCTGGAAGGACAGGAGCATCTGGACGAGTGGTGAGGGACGGGGGGTGAAGTGTGCAGACAGGGGATCCTAGGTGAGGCCTTGTAACAGGAGCCTTGCGGAGTCCGATGGCAGTCTGCCTACCCTTCACAGCTGTTTCTCCTAGAGCTCAGGCATCACTCTGGAGGTAGACCTGAGCCCCATACCTATTATGTATGGGGAAGGGGAGGGGGTGTGTAGGAGCTATGCCGGGTGAGGGCAGGATGAAGACAGACCGGCCTCAGGCCAGCAGGGAGGCTGCTTGGGTGAAGAAGATGGCGGGAGCCCTGTGCAGGCCCTAGGCCGGAAGGGCTGGCCCTGGCAGAGATCAGATGGGAAAGGGAAGATTGAAAACTCGGGAAAAGGCTGTGTTCTGAGGACATTTTTGCATTTTTTGAAAAGAGTCCAGGAAAAAAAAAGCCAAAAACATTTTCCCAGCTTTTCATCTGAGCCCTTCATATCGCTATTCCTAGCAAGTGTGCCTGATTTAATCAAATCAGCACTGGCAGCCAGCAGCATGTTTTTATTCCAGAAACTTAAACTGTCCTTTAAAAAATAAGAGGAATAAATGCTCTCTGTAAAATAATAAATAAAATAGTACAGAAAGGTTATGAAGTGAAAAGTAAGTCGCCACCCACACCACCTCATCCACCCCTGCCACACACACACACAAAAAGACTCCCTGGAGATAAATACTATGAACCATTTTGAATCTGTAAGGGCCACTAACAAAAACAAGTGTGGTGTCTATTCCCAGGCCTCAGAGTGTAAAGCTTCTCTGGGTCTCTTCTGGGAAGTCGTCTGGGCTGAACTCTTCCTTTTTCAGAAAGGGAGAAGAGATTGCAGCTATGGTGTGGCAGGGGCCAGGCAGGAGCCTTCAGGAGAGGCTTTTCAGGTACTAGGAAGGGCCATCAGCAGCCTCACTTCAGCCAGGTGTCCCTGGGTGGGCCAGTAGATGGTGATGTCCTCCTCTCGCCAGGGTTCTCTCTTCTCCTCAGCGTCTAATGGCTCTTTTTCACCTTCGCAGGATCCCTCCGTGACCCAGCTGACCAGTGCCCCACAAGGTGGCCTGGCTGAATTCAACCCCTTCTCAGAGGTTGGTGAGCATGCCCTCTTTCTGAGTCCTCGGGTCCTCTGCGTAGTGCTGGGGTCTCTGGGGCAAGGAGCCTTGGCAGAGACAGAGACAGCTCTGAGAAGCTGCAGTCCTCAAAGGGACAGTGCTAACGTGAACTCGGGGTGGGGGTGAGGATGAGGGAGTCACCAGTTCTCCCCTTGGCATCTTTAACTGGGCCCCTCCCTGAAGAGGGCAGGGCAGTGCCAGGGAGTTCTGGATCCGGCAAGGCCAGGGGTGCTGGGTTAGGCATCACATTGCCCAGAGCCTGAGGCTTATTGGCCGAGAACCTGCAGTGGGAGACCCAGGGCAGGTCCAGAGGGAGTACCGGTCACAGGCAGGGGCACATCACTCACCCTGCTGTGGGGTTGCCCCCACATGGCCAACTAGTGGAGCCCCACTCATCTCCCTCCTTTGATGTGGCCCATGCAGACAAATGCAGCAACAACGGTTCCTGTCACACAGCTTCCTGTGCCCTCACAGCCAGCGGTTCTCCAGCCCTCAGTGGAACCAACCCAGCCAAGCCCCCAGGTACTGTTGACAAAGATCCCTTTGGCCTTTCCTTTCCAGAAAGGGAAGCACCGAGACCAGTAGCTGAGCCCTGAGATTGAGGGTGGGCAGAGGGCCTTAACCCCTGGCTCCCCTTCAGGGGCCTTTTGGATAATCTCCTTGGAGTTGGTCACTTGCACATGGAGGGTCTGCTCTGCCACACTTATCCTCACCCCTCTACCCTACTGCCACCACCAAAACATGAGTTCTGCTTACCAGATTGGGGTGCTGAGTGTGTTCAGAGAGAGCATTTGCCCTGTGGTGCTGTTCCAGATCCTCCCGGGGCCTTTGGTTTGTTCTCTCTTACTCAGGGCCCAGAATCTCTCTCTCTCTCTCTTTAACCTCATTTATTCCTGCCTGCCTTCTTATTTTCCTTTGTCCTTTTACCAAATACTGTGAATCTTGTCTGCTTCATCCCTGACACTCCACTCCATCACCTCCCTGCCCTCCCCCGTGCTCCTCATGCCCCTGGTGAGCGTGACCCACAGTGGAGTTGTATGTTGCAGCTCCTGCTTAGACAGGCCAGCAGGTTCCTGCCTACCAGATTCCTGGCAGTGAGCGAGTTCTCAGAGAGGCAGATGCTGCTAGGAGGAGATAGTATTCTCAGAGACAGCTACATGCGAGACCTTCCAAAGGTAGGCAAAGTGTAGATGAGCATGAGGGAGGGCCAGGTGCCTGGAGGCTGCCCAAGCTGGGCTTTGGACTCTAGTGGGCCCCACGCTGCCCCCACCGTCTGACGACTTGCTCTGCTCCTGCCTGGCACCCTGGGCCCCACCTGTGGCCCTAGAACCCTGTGGAGGTGAGGCAAGGCTTAGAGGCAGGGGTGACTTTCTTGTTCAGCTGGGTAGTGGGCTGTGGGGACCTGGGGCCTGTTCAGCTGAAGTCACAGACTTGGGGAGAGGAAGCTAAGACCCTCAGCATGGTTCAGTGTGGTCAATTCTGGTCCTGCTTCTGACCCCAGTGCCTGAAATTGACCTCCTGAAGGCAGCCTTAGCTCTTTGGAGAACTCCTTTTGGGGGTGGGGGGGGGGGGAGTGAGTGTGTGTGTGCGTGTGTGTGTGTGTACACATATGTACATACATGTATGCCTGGCTTGTCATCCTGTGAGGTGACTGATATCTAGTTTGATATCTGCTCCCTCAAAAGGAATATAGACTTCATGAGGAGCCGGGCCCCGACAGCTGTAGCTGGAATGCCGGGGCCCAACTCTGCTCAGCCTCAGAGTCCCCTGGCTGCCTCACTTGGAGTTCCTGCTCTGCCTGGAGAGGGATAAAGCTTGGATTCTGCATGTCATGAAAGCCAGGCAGAGCAGGGCCAAGCCTAATGGGCTGTCCTGGAATGTAGCCGGTCACAGTTCAGGTGGCCCTCGGGGCTGCTCCTGAGGATGGAGCAGGGGGAGGTGCTTAAATATAGACCCTTGAGGCTCCAGGTACACACAGTCTGCCCACAAGTGCCTCCTCTCCCCACTCACTGCTAGCAGGATTGTACTGTTGCCTTCACACGCACACCCTCCAGGCTCTTCAAGTGGGGCTTGGCTATCTGGGTTTCTGGCTACAGGTTAGTCTTTTAGGAGGCCTTTTTCCCTTTGCTGATACCCCAGAAGTCACTATACCTGAACTTTGCCTGGACTCCAGGTTGGGGGATAGTTCTATCTCAAGCTCAGGGATGAAAGGGAAAGGAGAGCCCTGGTAATGGCTTACGGGCCAGAGGTGGTGTAGAGGCAGTAGGGGACGGGTCACCTTGGCCTATGTGTGGTGGTTTCAGGTACCCAGGACACTGTGGGGCTGGGACTGCCTCTGGGACTCCCTGCTGGTTTTCCCTGCATAGGGCAAGGCCCCTCTGACTTCCTGCCCAGGCTGACACTGTCCCTCTGTCTCGCATCTGGCTGCTCCCCACGTTCCCTCCAGGCCGTGGCCTCTGCAGCCCAGGCAAGCCTGCTCCGGCAACAGGAAGAACTGGACAGGAAAGCAGCTGAGCTGGAACGCAAGGAGCGGGAGCTGCAGAACACTGTGACCAACTTACATGGTAAGGGAGGCCACACGGGCCCTGGGCTGCCGTGTCTGGTGCAGGAGAGTTCCCTGAGCCTGCTTGTTCCTGGGGCCACCCGGGAACTTTGCTGAGCTCTTGATCATCTTAGAGTGGTGCTGGTCCTAGGGAAGAGCAGTAAGATGGAAGTCAGGAGTAATCCTAATGGGTGTAGATTACTTCTGCACTCCTTCTCAGCTCTAAAATTCTTTGCTATCAAGGTGGGAAGACTGGGCCCACGATTTCTTGCTTGTGATGATGACCCCTTGTGCTTATGGGCTGCTTGTCATAAAAATAATCACTTAGGCCTTTTGGCTCTGTGTTTCCCAGTGCATTTGGGGTCCGTTATCTTGGAGTGAGCTTGTGGGTGTTTGTGTCCCATCATGCTTTACCCATCCCACTCCATACCCATGAAGATCCCGAACCCCACTTGCTGGCACCCTTCTGGGAGCCCTGGTTTGGCCCATGAATTCGGCTGGTGTGTGCGCTTTGCTGTGCTGCTGCTGAGGCTGGGCCTCACCTCGTCACCTCTTTCCATGCAGTGAGACAGAACAACTGGCCGCCCCTGCCCTTTTTCTGCCCCATCAAGCCTTGCTTCTATCAGAATTTCTCCATAGAGATCCCTCCCGACTACCAGCGGATATGCAAGATGCTCTACTATCTCTGGATGTGTGAGTCCCGCTCCTGCCCCTTTGAGCCCAAGGGAGAAATGGGGTGTGACTCGAGAGCCCTGCCCATTGCTGTGGCTGCTCCTTCCTAGCAGACTCCAGCCTTCCTCAGTGCTGGGCCAGGCTAGGGGGCTACCTTTTGCCCACATACTTGGCCCTCCACAGTCTGCTTCCTGTCCTAGGAACCTCCCTGAAAGGGCCAGTCCAGACCACGGATCAAGTAGGGTGGGACTAGCCAGAGGCTTCTGAGTTCCTCTGGAGCTCATTGCACTGAAGGGCCCTCCATAGGTGAAGGCCTCCCCTCCCCATAGGCCCCTGGGCTCCTAGGAGTGAGGATAAAAGACTCCCTGTAGCTCCACTGTGGGCCATCCAGGGCCAGGGGAGAGTTGCTGAGAGGAAGACTTCATTCCCCAAGGATCAGCCCTTGGGTCTGCATTCTCCCCTCCACTGCCACCCCTCACATACCTGGGCTGTCCCATCACCTCCCAGGAACTTGGTTTGGTCCCTGGTTTTGAGGTCCCAGAAAACCAGGATTTGGGAGCTAACCCTGCCTAGGTACAGACCGAGGTCCTCTTGTTATTTCTGCAGCTGCCCTCGCTGCATGGACCTCTTTTCCTCTCCAGGGGGTGGTTTGCCATGTCAAGGAACCCTTTGGCCACCTTGGCACAAGCCCATCTCTCTCTCCTTTCCCCCTCCCCAGTGCATTCAGTGACTCTGTTTCTGAACCTACTTGCCTGCCTGGCCTGGTTCTTAGTCGACAACAGCAAGGGAGTGGACTTTGGCCTCTCGATCCTGTGGTTTGTGCTCTTCACCCCCTGTGCCTTCCTTTGTTGGTTTCGACCCATCTATAAGGCCTTTAGGTGAGTGGGGCTATGGGTGAGTGTATGGCTGGCATCCCAGGTGGCAGGCCAAGGGCCGTACGTCCTGGGGCTCCATCCCAGTCTTAGAGCAGAATCGAATGGTGGGGAAATTCACTTTCCCATTCCCACCCATAGTGAGAGCAGACACGGATCAGGCGCCATTTTTTTCTGTTGTTGTGCCTGAGGTCTCCTCTGGGCACTGTCCTTGGCCTAGGCACAGGAAACCTAGAGAGGGGATCAGGAGCCTTATTTGCCCTCCCACTACTCCCAGTTTTTCTGCTGCAGTGGGATTTCAGTCAGTGGGAAGAGGGAGGGGACTTCCTTAGCTCCCTTCTGTCTGCTTCTCTGATAGAGTTGGGTAGAGTCTGATAGAGTTGGACTCTGATGGAGTCGGATAAGCTCTCAATGGCTTATCTCTCCATGCTTGTTTATGCCCCGCTCCCACCTCCCCAATAACTCTTGAGCATTGCTGAGTGCCAATATCTGACCAGTTGACCTAGAATAGACGCCGTGGACATTAATGGATCCACCCCACAGACCCCTAGGGCTTTTGGAATTGTCCCTCAGAGTTGATGCTTTCAGGGCTGGGAGCCCAGCAGGCTGTGGGAAGAGGGGGCAGGGCAGTGGCTGAACTCTCCCATGCACTCGGCAGGCAGGACCTGAACCCTCACTATTCTAGCCCTCAAGGGTGGAGGTGCTAAAAACACCAGTTTTGTCTGGTGTTCTCTACTCTCCAAATACCTTTTCTTCCACCCACGCCTACAGTTTTATTATTAGAGGTTTATACCTTTGGCTTAGATTTTCTTGCCTGTTATGAAATACAGATAAGTACTCCAGGAGAATGACTGTTAGGCTCTTTATATTGTCCTTTGGGCGAGCAACTTTATTAGCTCTTTGAGGAAGGGGTCAAGCATTGACCCCTTAAATTGGAAGGCAGTGAAAGGCAAGCCATTTTTGATTATGGTGGTGGGTGTCTGTGTTTCTGTGACCTTACGGACAGTGTGGCTGGTCCCCTGGAGCTCTGTGTACTTTCCCATCCTGCCTCCTGGCACCTAGTGAGGAGAGATGTCGTACCCAGTGGGGAATACTGACGAACGAGCCCCACGCCATCCTGTGACTTCTGATTTCCCCTCTCTCCACAGGTCTGACAACTCTTTCAGCTTCTTCGTGTTCTTCTTTGTATTTTTTTGTCAAGTAGTGATCTACGTCATCCAGTTGGTCGGCATCCCTAACTTGGGGGTCAGGTGAGACCTAGGGCGGCACAGAGGGAAGTACGCCTTGGAGGTGGCTTGGCCTCTCTCGCCGTTTCCCCGCTCCCAGAGAGCACCCCCAGATGACCCGTCTTCTACCCTGGCAGGGAGCAGGGTGGCTGGGCCAGCTTGGATCTGCCTTCCCGCCCCCTCTCCAGTTCTTCCCCAGTAGCTGCTCACTGTCTTGCCTTCTTGCCACGTTCTGGGGTGTTGTGGGTGAACTTGGCCTGAATCCTTAGGCTTCCAGGGCTGGACAGCATCCTCTTCCTTTTCTCCTGCCACGTCCTCCTAGAAGCTGGTGCTACTTCCACAGGCCCCAGACAAGCCCTTGGGTCTGGGCAGCTGCTGATAGCTGCCCCTGGCCTTCGCAGACCCTGAGCTGTGACTTTTCCAGAGGACCTGTAACTTCAGGAGATGGAGCCCCAGCCTCTCACGGCCTGGCTCCTCTGGCTGCTCTCTCTCAGCATACAGCTGGTTTGAGGTTCCTGGGCGCTGCAGTCCTCAGCTCAAAATTAGCCTCAAAAAGAAATGCTGATGGCTAGTGTTTTCCTTTCTGCCCCAGTGCACATGGAACATTATAGAAAGGTCAGGCTGGCACTTGGCTGAAAGCCTGAGCCTAGAAGGGCTGTACTATTTTGGTCCCCACCCTCCAGTGGAGCTGGCAAGTCCAGAGCAGTGGGGAGGGGGCTGACTCACCTTACACTCCGAGCACGTGCACACTGCCCTCCCACCACCCCTCTTCTCGCCTCACTGTTTCTAATCTGGCCCCTTTTCTCTTTGATCGGTGACCCAATTTCATTACTCATTACCCTAAGTGAGATCCCGGTAGAAAGGCTGTAATTAATAAGTGCTGTTTGCACCCTGGACCAGGAGTCAGAAGGCTTGAGTTCTGGTCCTGGGTCTGCCCCTCACTGCCCTGTCTGGGCTGGCCTGCCTGGATGAGCTCTGCAGCCTCCAGCTTTTCTCATCTCACCTCATAACACCTGCAGGTGGTGGATATAACCCTCCCTTTTTTGTTATTGATTGTAAAATACACATAACAAAATTTATCATTTTATTTACCACTTAAACCATTTTAAAGCATACAGTTCAGTGGCATTTAGTACAGTCACAGGTTGTGCAGTCATCACCACTATCTCGTTCCAGGATGTTTTTATCACCCCAAAAGGAAACTCCATACCCATTAAGCAGCCACTCCTCATTCCCTTGTTCCCTGAGCCCCTGGCAACCATTAAACTGCTTTCTGTCTCTCTGGATTTGCCTGTTCTGAACATTTCATATAAATGGAATCATACAACGTGTGGCTTTTTGTGTCTGGCTGCTTTCACTTAGCATGATGTTTTCAAGGTTCATGTTGTAGCATGTACTAGTACTTCATTCCTTTTTATGGCTGAATGATATTCCATTGTTTGGATATTCTGCATTTTGTTTATCTACTCGTTGGTTCATAGACATTGGGGTTGTTTCCACCTTTTTGCTCTTGTGAATAGTGCTGCTATGAACATTTGTGTACAAGTTTTCAGGTACTTGTTTTCATGTTTTCAGTTCTTTTGGGGATGTTTCTAGGAGTGGAATTGCTGGGTCATATGGTAAGTCTGTTGAGGAACCGCCAAACTGTTTCCCACAGTGGCTGACCCATTTTACATTCCCACTAGCAATGTATGAAAGTTCCAGTTTCTCCACATCATCACCAACACTAGTTATTTTCCTTTTTTCTATTATAGCCAACCTAGAGGTGTGGTATCTCATTGTGGTTTTGTTGGCATTTCCTAAGTGACTAATGATGTTGGCCATCTTTTATGTGCTTGATGGCCGTTTGGGTATCTTCTTTGGAGAAATTTCTATTCAAGTCGCTTGTTAATTTAGTAATTGAGTTGTCTTTTTGTTGTTGAGTTCTTTATGTATTCTGGATACTAGCTCCTTATCAGATATGTAATTTAGAATTTTTTTCCATTCTGTGTGTTATTTTTTCACTGTCTTGATAGTCTCCTTTGATGTACAAAAGTTTTTAATTTTGATGAAGGCAAATTTCTCTTTTTCTTTTGTTGCGCGTGCTTTAGGTGTCATATCTAAGAACTATTGCCAAATCCAAGGTCATGAAGAGTTACCTCTGTTTTCTTCTGAGAGTTTCATAATTTTAGCTCTTATTATTAGGTCTTTGATCCATTTTTTTTTTTTTTTGGGGTGAGGAAATCAGTCCTGTGCTAACATCTACCAATCCTCCTCTTTTTTTTTGGGGGGGGGAAAACAGGCCTTTTCTAAACTTTCCCCCAATCCTCCTCTTTTTTTTTTTTTTTTTTGCTGAGGAAGACTGGCCCTGGGCTAACATCTGTGCCCATCTTCCTCCACTTTATATGGGACGCCACCACAGCATGGCTTGCTAAGCAGTGCCTCAGTGCGTGCCCAGGATCCAAACAGGTGAACCCTGGGCCACCGCAGTGGAGCGCACGCACGTAACCGCTTGTGCCACCGGGCCGGCCCCTGTGATCCATTTTGAGTTAATTTTTGTATATGGCTGAAGTAAGGGTCCAACTTCACTGTTTTGCATGTGCATATCTAGTTGTCCCAGCACCGTTTGTTGAAGAGACTGTTCTTTCTCCTGTCAGTGGTCTTGGCACCCCTGTCAAAAATCACTTGCCGATAGATGTATGATTTTATTTCTGGATTCTCAGTACCATTCCATTGATCTATATGTTTATCCTTATGCCAGTACCAGACTGTTTAGATAAATGTAGCTTTGTAGTAAGTTTTTTTTTTTTTTTTTTTAAAGATTTTATTTATTTTATTTTTTGCCCCCAAAGCCCCAGTAGATAGTTGTATGTCATAGCTGCACACCCTTCTAGTTGCTGTATGTGGGACTCGGCCCCAGGATGGACAGAGAAGTGGTGCCTCAATGTGCACCCGGGATCCGAACCCGGGCTGCCAGCATCGCAGCGTGCGCACTTAACCACCAAGCCACAGGGCCGGCCCTGTAGTAAGTTTTTAAATCAGGAAGTGTGAAGATATCCCCTTTTATAGATGAGGACACTGGGGCTCAGGAAGGTGACATGACTGACTGGAAGCAGAGGGGCTGTCCCTGGGCCTCAGTGGGAGGAGCTGAAGTGACAGGATGAATGCAGTGGGTTGGCCAGTGATCCTCCTTCTCAGAGGGTGGGCCTTTAGGAGTGAGCAGCCAGGCTTTCTATGTCCCCCCAACCCCCAAAGCAGCAGGAAATGGCCCTACCTGGTGCTACTCCTGACTGTGGGGGCAGCAGCCCCATCCTCCCTTCCAGCCCTCACATGGCCCATAGATTCCCCATGGGTGGTGTGGGGCCTTTCGGCCTTCACAGAGGCCTGGCCTCTCATGGCCAAGAGCTTCTGGCCCACAGAGCTCTGTGCGGCAGGGAGATGCCTGGCTGGTGGTCAGCACACAGTGGCCACTTGGAGAAGAGCCCCTCTCAGGGACCCCTGAGGCCCACCCTCACTATGCCCCCTCTGGCCTCCTCTTCCTTTTGTAGTGGTTGGATTGCAGCCGTGACTACGCTGGATTCAAAGCATTTGGCTGTGTCGATCATCATGATGGTGGTGGCTGGTTTCTTCACCCTCTGTGCCGTGCTCTCACTCTTCCTCCTGAAGCGAGTGAGTGGTGGGTGTGGGGCCAACAGCAAACCCGAGGAAGCAGGTGCCTCTCTCCTGCCTTCGTCATGGGGATGTTCATCACTACAGCAGTTGGGCATCCTGGGACTCCAGAGGTCCAGTGGCTTTCTCCAAGGCTCTGAGTGGGAGGCCAGGCAGGCTTGGGTTCCTGGTGGCCCCCTTGGGAGTATAACCTGGATGGCTGGGTTCCTGGGGGGCCCTTGGGGCGGGCGTCTCTCACCCCAGCCTCTTTCCCCAGGTGCACTCCCTGTACCGCCGGACGGGGGCCAGCTTCCAGCAGGCCCAAGAGGAGTTTTCCCAGGGCATCTTCAGCAACAGGACCTTCCGCAGCGCTGCCTCATCTGCTGCCCGAGGAGCCTTCCAGGGGAATTAGTCCTCCTGACTCTCTTCCCTCTGCCCCAGCCTTTTCTCTCGCCTGCCTTCTAGCTGCACTTTCCATGGGTGCCTTAAGCAGTGGTTATGCCCAGCACAGACCTGGGGAGAGTCTTGCCATGGCTCTTCCTCCTTCCTCAGCAACCAGCTCTCCCTTCCACCCCAGGGAAGGGGAGGGAGGGGAGGATAGGGACTTCTTTTTACACAAGAGAAAAGAAAAAGAACAAAGCTCTTTCCTTCTCTGGTGGTGGTTTGGTAAGATTCTTTTCTCTCTGGCAGCAGTGGGACTGAAGTTCTCTTCCGCCTACACACACGTACACACACGTGTACACTGGGATCACCGGCTGACCTGGGCCCGCCCCAGCTGGAGTTTTATTTCTGCCTGGGTCCTAGGACTCCACTCCTCCCTCCCCAGTCCCAGCAGGCCTGGCCTGAAGGTGGCTCCACAGACCCAGCCTGTGGCTTCCACAGTCGCGCCGCTCCTTCCTGCCCAGACTGGGGCAGGCTCCCAAGGGCTCCCCTTTAGACGAGCTGCAGTCTGGGCATGTTGGCAGCTCTTCCTCAGATTACTCTGGAGTGGTCTCTGGGCTTCCAGAGCCTCTGGCCTGGTTGCCCTGGGCTCTTCCCTGCCTCGCGTTTCTCACAGACAGATTCACAGCCCCTTAGGCCCCTGCACCCACTGGTGTGGGCAACACCTTGTGCCCTCTGGGGCCTTCCCTCTTTAGACTTACTGAATGTTCAATGGGGTTGGTTGGAATTTGGGGATGGGGAGGGGTAGAGGATACTGACCCTGACTTGTCCTGCCCAGCCTTGGTGGTCTCCTGGGAGGTGGGGTCTGACCGTCCTGGTGTGCTTTGTTTGCCTCTGTTTTGATTTCCTCTCCTTCTGAGGGACGGCAGCCTTTGCCTTGGCCTCCGATGCCACCCCACTCCACCTCCCACCCTCATCAATATCTAGCTTCTGTGACTCTGAGGGAGGGCAAGGGGTATCAATCTAGAACTGCATCTTTCAGGCTGGACTGAATAGCTACTTTTCTGAGGGTTCCAGACTAATCCTCCAGGGTTTCCCCATCCCCCGAGTAGAGTCTAGATCATCCTCGCTGGTCATGACAAACCCCAGGAGGTGTGTCACTTGATGGGCACCTGGGAGTCCACATTAAAACCTGCACCCTGTCCTCCACAAGCTGGAGGAGTGGGTGTGTGGACTGAGGGGACTTCTCAAAAAGCTGGCCAGCCTCATGCCTCTGAGACCTGGGGCCCACCCCGAGGCAGCCCTCAGGCTGCCAGCCCACTCAGCCCCAGAGCCGCTCAATGATAATGGCAGTGACCAAGGTTTTGTAAACTCCTTTCTGGTATTTTTTTCTCCATGTACAAATGTGTATGTTATGTCTCAATTTTTGTGCTTAAATAAAAACAATACATTTTCAGATCACACTGGTCCTAACGTCTGCTGGACTTGGGAGGATGGGGGTGGCCCACAGGGGTAGGGGCTGAGGTGCTCCAGCAGTAGGTGAGGGGACAGTCAAGACGCTGCACCTGGCCACCCTGTGCCCTGGCTGGTCTGTGACAGGCCAAGCCCCTCACCCCTGGGGACAGGCCCCTTCCTGAGAAGACTGCTTGGCCTCTTCTATGGTACTTTCTTGTCCCACTGCTTTCACCTTCAGAGCTGCTGGTTTTGGGGAAGGGGGCCTCTTTGAATCTCCCTCCACGGCACACACCCGCTCAGCTGGGCTCGTCCCTTCTTGCCCCCTAACGCGGACGATCTCTAGGGCACTATCCGAGCCTAGATGGGATTCCCCGGGTGACCTCTGCTCACTTCCGTTCGGCCTGCGGGAGCCTCAGTATCCCTAAATGGATCTTGCCGAGACTGGCGGATCATGTGATTTCCAGTGCGGTTGGAGGCCGAGGAGGCGCCCAGGAGCAGCACCTGGAGCGCCTGGAGGGGCGGGGCGCGGGGCCGGTGGGGAGCGGGCGCCCAGCTCCGCGCTGCACTTCCGGCGGGCGGCACTGGGGGCGGCGTGGAGTCCGGCTCGGCCGCCGCGCGCTCTGCCCGCTCGGCTCCGGAACCGGGCGCCGGGAAGCAGGAAGCGCGTGGCGGCGGGGATGGCGGGGCCCGGCTGGGGCCCCCCGCGGCTGGACGGCTTCATCCTCACCGAGCGCCTGGGCAGTGGCACGTACGCCACGGTGTACAAGGCCTACGCCAAGGTGGGTGCGGGCCGGGGCGCCCCGGGGCTGCTGTGCGGGGCAGGAATCCGGGGCATGAGAACTTCTGAGGGCCTGGCCGCCGCGCCCGCCAGACCCTGAGCAAGCCCGGGTGGGGGCCGGGCCGGGAAACTAGGGGAGGTTAGAGCCCGCGGGAGAGCAGTTAGGGCCCGCGGCCTGCCACGTCCCAACCTTCGGTGGAGGAGGCGGGAGCTGACTCCACCCGTAGGTCTTGAAAACAAACACGTACACACCCCTGTTTTGTCTGGAGAGGCAGATGGAGACCTCGATGGAGCCTTGGTGTCAGTGGCTGAAGAATAGGCTCAAAACAGGGAGGATCTAGTGGGCTGGGAGGAGTCTGGGACGGGGTTTTAGAAGGCTGGGCCCAATTAGGAAGCACAGTGAGCAGTTCTAGAACACTGAATGACATGCCTTAGCCGGGGCACTCTAGAATACAATGAAATAGGGTTTTGAGCAGAGGGTTGGAGAAGCAGCAGGCTGGGTGGGAAGGTTGGGGTTCCCGACTCTGGTGCCTCATTGGCCTGAGAAGGAGAAGATGGGAAGCCTGGATGCTGGAGTGAGTGGGTGGGCCCAGTGAGGGGGAGAGGGGCAGAGGGAACCAGAGCCCCTCTAGCCAGGCATGGGCCCTAGCCCCCTCAAGGCAGAACCCTCAAATCTCCTCTCCGCATAGAAGGACACTCGTGAGGTTGTAGCCATCAAGTGCGTAGCCAAGAAGAGTCTGAACAAAGCATCCGTGGAAAACCTCCTGACAGAGATTGAGATCCTCAAGGGCATTCGACACCCCCACATCGTAGAGCTGAAAGACTTCCAGGTGTGGGCCTGGGGTGGGGCCACTCCCAAAGGGGGCTGGAGAAGGGACACTCTTCAAGCTGCCTCTCTGCCTCTAACTACAGTGGGACAGTGACAACATCTACCTCATCATGGAGTTCTGTGCAGGGGGTGACCTGTCTCGCTTCATCCATACCCGCAGGATTCTGCCTGAGAAGGTGGCTCGTGTCTTCATGCAGCAGTTGGGTAAAAGCCTCTGACCCAGCCTGAGACCCCTTCCCGTGGTCTCTGCCCTCCCACTCCACCCCTGCCTCAGGCTTAGAGCCCTGGCACTCTTAGCAGTTGCCTCCTGTCCCAGCTTGGTTTTAGGGCCTCGTCTTTCCCATGGGCCCCTGTCTGGCCTAAGGATGCTGTGAGAGAGACAGAGGGAGGAGCTCCATCTGTGGAGAGTCTGGGCCTCCACACATGGAACATGATATAAAGACCTCATAGAACATTCCAGGGCCCAGTGGGTGGGACCCAAGTGCTTTGCCAAGGAAGAGGGCAAGAGCCTAAAGGGGTGGGGCATCCAGGGAGGCTTCTGGGAGGAGGGGAGACTTGTGAAGGGGCCCAAGGGAAGGGAAGGAGGTCACTCGGGGTGGGAGTAGGGCAAATTCTTAGACGTGACAGGAAGCTGGTCTTGAATGTAAAGCATTCAGTAGACCAGCCAGGCCAGAACTGGGGTTGCGCAGGCTTGAAGAGGCAGATGTAAGCCTGGGGAGGTGAGAGGCAGGTGGGAGATGGGCTCCTCTGACCTGTTTCTCTGCATGGGTCCTACTACCCAGCTAGTGCCCTGCAGTTCCTGCATGAACGGAATATCTCTCACCTGGATCTGAAGCCACAGAACATTCTACTGAGCTCCTTGGAGAAGCCCCACCTTAAGCTGGCAGGTGTGAGTCTGTAACAGCAGGGATGAGGTTTGGAGGGTGGGTGTGCGGAGGCCTCCCTCTGCGTGGGCTCACTCAGCAGTCCCAGTTCTCATGGAGCCCTCTGTTGAGTCATCAGACGGTGACAGGCTGGGAGACCCAGGGATGGGCTCCATCACCAAAAGGTAGGACCTTTCTCAGGCTACGCACACTCGACTCCAGCATTGTAATGGGTGGGGTCAGGGCTCAGTCTGGGGTCAGAGTCAAGACTCAGTGTGTGACCAGAGTGTCACCAGGATTGGGGCTCAAATTATGACCAATCTATGGCAGTGTTCGAGGGTGTGAGGTGGGAGAGGGGGTGGTTGTGGCTTCTGATAAGATTTGGAGAATTGACTTGGGGCTGGAAGGCAGAGAGCGTGGTATAACCCCAGCTTACTGGGACAGTGAGGGAGGGTCTGACCCCTAGTGAGCCCTCATCCTCATAGCTGGTGTGATCAGAGTGGGCTTCCTGGGAAAAAGGTTCCTTAAGGGACTGTGCAGGATGGGTAAGATTTATGCCCCCACGGGAAGAGGTAAAAGGGTGTTGCAGGCTAATCGAGAGAGAAACAGCATGAGCGCAGTAGGGAAGTGGCATTAATCCTGGCGAGTCTGGAGGGCGGGGAGGAGGCCTGCTCTAGAGCCCAGGGTGAGGCTTTAAGGCCAGGAGCAGAACCAGCTGGAATTTGAGCCCTGCTGCCTGGCCTCTTGCCTGCAGACTTCGGCTTTGCACAGCACATGTCCCCCTGGGATGAGAAGCATGTGCTCCGTGGCTCCCCGCTCTACATGGCTCCCGAAATGGTGTGTCAGCGGCAGTACGATGCCCGTGTGGACCTCTGGTCTGTGGGGGTCATCCTGTACGGTGAGAGCTCTGTCCCCCACCCCTACCCAGAGGTCTGCACGGTGTGTCCGCAGGCGAGGACTCTCTGGGCCACTCCTGAAGGGTTCCAATGAGAACGCTGCCTCTACTGGCCCGGGGTCCCTGCTCTGAGGGATGTTAGGCCGCCTCCCCAGGAATGGGCCAGGTCAGGCTTGACCCTGTCCCGTCCTGGCCTGCCCTCTGCCTCCCTTCCACAGAAACCCTCTTCGGGCAGCCCCCCTTTGCCTCCAGGTCATTCTCGGAGCTGGAAGAGAAGATCCGGAGCAACCGGGTTGTTGAGGTGGGTCTGGCAGGGCCTTGGCACCTGCGGGGTTGGGGGGCAGAGGGAGTCAGGGCCCTGAGGTTGGAGACCTCACTGCCACCTGCACAGACTGGAGTGCGGGCTCCAGGCCACCTTTGTGGTGCCGGGGTGTGCTCTAGACTGGAAGTTGAGGCTGCATTCAGTTCCAGGGACCCAGATTAGCCTACTACCACAGGGAGCAAAGGGCCCCAGATTGTTGCAGACCCCCCGTGGGGAGAAGGCCAATGCAGAGCCAGGCCCAGTCTTCCCAGGAGCATAATCCAGGAAGGGGAAAGCACCTAGAAACAGGGTTCTAGGATAGCTAAGAGTTCCAGGGAGGGCGTGGGCAGGAGCCTGGGGGAGGCTTGCCTCTCCTCTGGCCTCCATTACCTTCCTCCTGGGTCTCAGATTCTCCGTCTGTCAAACATGTACCTCGGGGCATCCCAGGACAGGGTGGTCCTGACAGGCGCCTGGGCTGGGGGCCGAGGTGCTGGAGCCCAGCGTGATCTGTCTTCCACCTTCCCCTTCCCTGCAGCTCCCCCTGCGGCCCCTGCTCTCCCGAGACTGCCGGGACCTGCTGCAGAGGCTCCTAGAACGGGACCCCAACCGTCGCATCTCCTTCCAGGACTTCTTCGCCCACCCCTGGGTGGACCTGGAGCACATGCCCAGTGGGGAGAGCCTGGCACGAGCAGTGAGCAGGCCAACGGGGATGGGGTGGGGTGCGGGTGGGTTGGGGGTCTCATCTACCCCTTTCAGTGGTAAACAGATGACTTGCCCAACAGGAGGCAGAGGGTGGGCTCAGGGGGACCTCTCTATTCCCGCCTCATGGTGAGCCTGGGGGGTGGGCATGACTCCTGATCTGCTGTCCCGCAGACCGCACTGGTGGTGCAGGCTGTAAAGAAGGACCAGGAAGGGGCTGCTGCGGCCGCCTTATCTCTCTACTGTAAGGCTCTGGACTTCTTCGTGCCTGCCCTGCACTGTGAGTGCCTGGGCCCCTGGGTGCAGTGGGCAGCGTGGGGGTGGGTGGGTCAGCCATAGCTGTGGTGGATGAATTCCAGAAGCAGCTCTCTATCCAGAATTTTGTGGGAGACAAGACAGAGGGTAAATCTGGAACTTAGTGATTTTGGGGAGTCCAGAGGGTTTGGTGTGGGCAGAGGTCCTCTTGCCCCAGACTCCTCATATAAACCCCCACTTTCTGTAGATGAAGTGGACGCCCAGCGGAAGGAGGCAATTAAGGCAAAGGTGGGTGAGCGAGAGTCCCCTTGAGGAAAGGGTGAGGGATCCTGGGGCCTCTGGGGACTGGCTCTCTTAGAACTGGAACTTCCTCTCCTGGGCCGGGGTCAGGCCAGCCTCAGCTGACCCCTGACGTTACAGCTTGGGGCAGTCACTAAGGACCCAGAGGGGAACTTGGGGGTGGGCGCTGGGAGGGAGGCAGGGTGGGACAGCCCCTCCTCAGCCCCTCGCCCTCCTACAGGTGGGGCAGTACGTGTCCCGGGCTGAGGAGCTCAAGGCCATCGTCTCCTCCTCCAATCGGGCTCTGCTGAGGCAGGGGGCCTCTGCCCGAGACCTGCTCAGAGGTAGCCCCAGTTCCTGGCTGACCACCAGGCCCCCAGCGACTTCCTTGTAGCCTGACGGGGAGGCAGGTTGGAGCAGGTTCCCTGAGATGGAAAAACAGGCTGCTCCCCTCACCCTGAGCCTTTGCCCCTCATCCCAGAGATGGCCCGGGACAAGCCGCGCCTCCTTGCTGCCCTAGAAGTGGCTTCAGCTGCTGTGGCCAAGGTTTGTACCCAGCGGGAGGATCTAGGTGAGCAGGGGGGAGTCCAGATCATGACCCTAAGTGACCTGGTGTCCCTGTGGCTGCAGGAGGAGGAAGCTGGTGGGGAGCAGGACGCCCTGGCCCTGTACCAGCACAGCCTGGAGGAGCTGCTGCTGCTGCTGGCAGGTGAGTCCACCCCCCCATCACGACACCCCCCGAGCCCCGCCGCCCTGCCCTCACCACTGCACCCTCCCTCTCTTTGCAGCGGAGCCCCCAGGCCGGAGGCGGGAGCTGCTTCACACTGAGGTACCTATTGGGAGGGTTGGGGGGCTTCCTCTTCCCCTTTCATCCTGCTCCCATCTGGGGAACGTCCTCGGGTTCCCTTGGGGTGTTCCAAGTCTGGGAAGTCTGACTCCCAGACTTGATAATTCAGTGGCCCCGTGACTCCAGCGGGGCTCGGGTGCTCAGGTCAGGGTAGTGGGGTGGGCAGGATCTGGGAAGCCGGCAGCAGAAAGGTGGCTGGGCTGCTGCCGTCGGGAAGGCTTCCTGGAGGAGGAGCAGATAAAGGACTCAGGGTCCTGGAGAGCGTCAGGAGTGAGAGGGAGCTCCATCTAAAGGCCCCTCTGCCCACCCCCCACCCATGGACGTGCCTTCCCTTGGCAGGTTCAGAACCTCATGGCTCGAGCTGAATACTTGAAGGAGCAGGTCAAGGTGGGCACGTGGGGGGCCATGTCAGGGCAAAGCTGCGTGGGTTTTGCTCCTCTCTGCCTGTTGATGTCTGTCCCCCGCTCCCCCGTGTGTCTCTGTCTCCAGTCTTCTGAAGGCCTGTCCATCACTGTCTCTGTCCTTTGCATTCTCAGTTGCTCAGCGGCTGTTCGTTGTGTCTTGTGTGTGTGTCTGGCTGCCTCTAACCCCTTGTGCTGCCTTTATGTCCCACAGATGAGGGAGTCTCGCTGGGAAGCCGAGACCATGGACAAAGAGGGGCTGTTGGAGTCTGTGCGTAGCTGTGAGTCCTGCCCTGGGGTCTGACCCTCCATCCAAGGAGGGGTGAGGACTGGGGGTGGCTCCGGATGTTGCCTCTTTTGCTAGAGACCTGAGACCTACCCTCCCTCCTTACCCCTCCACAGCCTGCACCCTGCAGTGACCCCAGAAGGATGACTGGACAGACCACGAGCCCCCTGGAGTTGGGGGACACGCTAACCCAGGCTGACACCCAGAATTCTGTGGCCCTCTGCAATGCTGTGGAGCAGGCTTCCCAGATTGGCAGCTCTGAGACCCCCACATCCCAGGGTCCGCAGCACCCTTCAGGATCATCTCCACCCCCTAGAGGGTCTGATGGTCCATGGTGTGTGCTGGGAGCACTGGGCCTTGGCCCCGGGGGAGGGGAGCAGGACTCTGGGAGAAGAGTATTTCTTTCATGTGACTTTTGTTATTTGGTGGTAGCTGGCCCCTGAGCCTGTTGATTTGGGGGCATCAAGCCTTCTGTGTTTGCTCTGAGAAGAAGGCAGGGAGCCCTCCGCAGGGCATTCTACTCTTGGCCCCACCCTGCAAGCTGGCAGCTGTGCCCTGTGTCCACCCCTGTCCTTCCTTGGAGCCCTTATTGCCTCCCTCCTTGTACTGGAACGGGGCACTTCAAGACCCCTCAGGGACCACCCACCCCACAGTATGCACTCAGCTCCATAGAATTCACCAGTCTTCTGGGAGCTGACCCTTGCCCACCCTCTCAGTATTCTAAGATAATCCTTCAAGCATGAAATAATCTTTGTGGGGTGGGGCAAATCTGAGAAACCCAGGCCTTGTTCCTGCCCTGGCCCAGGGGGCACAAGGGGAGGGTCCTCAATCCTCATCCCTCCCACTTCCATCCCTCTTTGGGGAACACCCCTCCCTGCCACAGAGCTGATTCTGGCCTGGGAGGAGGCATGGGGGTGGCCTGACCATCAGACTGCAGGGACCCAGCATCCTGAAGACCTGGTCCTAGATCTGACACTGCCGCTGCCCCAGCTTGTGACCTGGCAAGGCCCTTTCCCGTTGGGCCTGGGTCTCCCCATCTCCCCAATGGGGCTGCTACTACCTCCTTAGCCCCCTGCATGGACTTTGAGGAGGACAAGGTGACTTTAATCTGGAGAAAATGTACACAACTGGAGTTACTTAGGGGTTTCTTTTTAAAAAATCCCAGAGGGTGTTGGTGATTTTTAACCCTCTGCCCTTAAAAGCCTCCTTGGGGCAAGAGTTGTCTGTCTTCTCTGCAGGCGGCTGGGTGTAAAGAATGTAATCATTGTTTCTCTATTAAATTATTTTCTGACCATGTGCCTCTCTTCTTGCCCTGGCAAGAACAGGAGAGGCAGCCCCTATGCAGAGGCTGGGGCTGGAGGGGCCCCAGGAAAACCTAGGTAACCTGGGGGAGGGCTAGAGAGGCCACGGGGTAGTGGACGGAGTAAGAGCTATATCTGCCTCCTGCCCGCAGCCCCTGGGGGATCAAGGAGAGTCAGGCTGACCAGCTGCCATTCCAGAGACCTGAGCCCACCACCCAGGGGACCAGTGGGGAGCCGGCAAGCACAGGCCTGGGAGCCCAAGGCCCTTCCTCTGCACCTGGAGAAGGCTGGGCTCGACTGCCGAGTGCAGTCCTGTACACACTCCACGCTGCTCTGCACGCTGCATGCTCCCTCAGCCTGGACAGGGGCCCCAGCCTCCTGGGCTGCTAAGTGAGCACTGAGCTGGACTGGGGAAAAGGTCATCCCCTATGGTGTTTTGTGCTTATACCCTGCCCCCCAGGACCCCCAAACTGGGGTCATTTCCAGCAGGCCCTTCCCACCACACACTGCAGCCACCAAGGCAGCAGTTCCCTAGACTTACCAAAGACCACCAAGATGCTCAGCCTTCCATGTGACATGAAAGGGCTTCTGTACAGGAAGGGAAACATGCCAGGAGGGACCTAATTTCCCTGAAGCCCTTGGCCTGGTCGTTGTGGGGCAGTGTAGAGCAGTGGTCCAGAGGGCAAGAGACACGGCTAAAATCCTGGTTCTGCCACTTGGCTGAGAAGCTTGGGACTCATTGATTAGCCCGTTTCTCAGGAAAATGAGGATGAAGATAAATGCCCTGCAGGAATTTGTAAGGATTAAATGAGTTACTGTATATGAAGCTGGCACATAAGTAAGAATTCAATAAAATGTTATTTTCAGATCTAGGGAGAGAAATGTACTTCAGATTATCTCTGGGAATGGGCTGGACAAAAAAGCCTCTATAAGTAAAATGAGGGAAAGGAAGGAGGGGAATGAAGGGAGCTGGTGGGTGACGACTGGAGAGGACCGGGTGGGAGGGAGAGTGGGAATGAGGAAGGACGGGGTGAACAACTGATGGAATAGAAGGATGACGGGATAGAGGATGGGCCCACAGACCTCAACTGTTTGTGGTATTGGGCCTGAAATTCCCATACATGTGGGTGTGGGGAGGAGCAGGCCCCCTAGGGGGATTGGGTGCAGGAAAGGCCTGGGAGGTTGAGGCCACTGGAGGAGGCCCTGGGAAAGGAACCTCTCTGGGGAAAATGTTTAGATGGTCTCCAGGCTGGTCCTGTGTCTAAGCCACCTGCAAGGAGGGAGGCAGCCCAGCGGAGGGGTGGGGCTCTCTCTCTAGGGCTCTCTTCAAATGGCAGAGGCCTATGGGAAATATGCTAATCCGCTTTTTAAGAAATATATTTTTCCTCCTAGGGGCGAGAGTCTCATCTTTTACAATTTGAAAGTGCCCAAAGCAGGGCAGACACCCCCCCAGCACCGTCTGGATGATTCACCCTGCCCTGTCCTCCCACCGCCACTCAGTCCCCAAGCCCAGAGCCAGCACTGGGCCAAGCTGGGGGAGCACCTGAGCCTGGGCCCCTCTGTCTCCCAAGGGACCAGCCCTGGGAGAAGCAGATGGGCTTCTGGAGCAGAATGAGGGACCCACGTGTCCCTGTGCCCAGCCTGCCCCTTCTTTTGCTAACTGCAGAGGCAGGGAAGGACATAGAACCTTGGTACCTGCAGGAGATCATCTAGAAGGGCTCTTGGTCCCCAGAAGCCAGCTGCCATCCCAGCCATCCCTGAGAGGAGAGGGCCCAACCCTGAGACTAGGGCATGAGGGAAGGGGGCATGTCAAGGACCACTTTCCCTTGAGTAGCTTACACCCACACCCATACACTTGAAATCCCACAGACACACAATGCACAGACACAGACACTAACAGGCCACAGGCAGCAGACACAAACAAAAACACTGAAAGCCATGCACAAGCTCACAGCCGCATGCAGACCCCACATAGATTTACACTCATGATCACACACACACAGGCACACACACACACACACACACAGGCACAGGTCCTGCTAAATACAGCTGAGGCAGCCTCAACGCTGCTGCTCCCCAGACCCAGCCCGCCTGCCTCCCTTGCTGTCCCTGAGCCTCACAAGGATTCTGGGAACAGCTATGCCTGGCAGGCACGGGGTTAGAGGCAGGGCAGCAGCCTGGCTCTATGGCTTCCTCCCACCCCCCTCACAGGGGCGCCCCACCCCCAACCCAGCCTTGGGCATCAGCTGGGTCAATAGGCACTGCCAGCAGCTCGGGTTCAGCAAACAAACATTCCCCCAGAAGTCGCCAGTGCCTGCTGCCAGGGGGGCCTCCAATGTCTGAGAAGGGACCATCTGGCCGTGGGGTGGGGGGAAGGGGAGAGCCTCTGAACTCCAAACCCCTCACCGACCCCAATTCCTCCCTAGGGACCAACTGGCCTCCGGAAAGTCGCTTGTTCTCTCTCTACCCCTGTCCCTCTGGGAACTAGGCCTGAACTGTCTGGACGGGTGGAAGGCAGGAGAAGGGACTGGAGCCAGGCAGGGGCCAGGGCTGGTCACCAATCTCCCTGAATTCCCCCGTGTTATGGAGGTGAGGAGGAGCAGGCCAGCCGTCTTTGCCATTTCTCTCCTTCTGAAAGAGTGGGGCGGGGGGGAGCTGTCCCCTCATCTTTCAACGTTTCCTGTATCCTCAGACTGCCAAGGGTGAGAAAGAAGAAAGAAGGGGAAAGGAAGAGCAGGAGGAAGGGAGAGGGCCTGGAGAGGTAAATCCCTTGCTCTAAATTGTGGTGCCCTATGGCAGGACTTTAATCACCATGGAAAGGGAAGCTTTGGTGGCAAGTGGCTTTCTCTGCAGCCCTCACATCACACCAGGTGGGTGGACTGGCACAGAGCAGTGATTGTGTAAATAAGTGGGAGTGGAAAGAGGATGGGAAGAGAGGAGTGGTCTAGTAATGGACGTGGACCGGCCCCGAGGGCTCTGGGCTGGGGGCAGGCGTAGAGGAGGCTCCAGCTCAGCCAGGTCGGCCCCCAGCTGAGGGCATGGTGGAGGACAGGTATGGGCCAGGAATGAGGCCGAGGGCGGGGGGACACAGAGGAGAGGGATGTGGACTGACAGAGAAGCCTAGAGGGCAGGGGAAGGCAGAGGTGAGGCAGGGCGAGGCTGGCAGAGCCTGGGGACCCCTCAGCCTGCCCTTCTTGGCCATCTCTGCCTGAGCCCAGGTACTGCTCCTTCTGTCCAAGCCTCTCCCCTCCATTCCAGGGACATGCAGACAGGTCAGGGCTTCTTGGGGTTCCAAGGCTGTGAGAAGGGAACCAGCCCCTCCCACTCCCTGACCCCAGGCCCCAGTCAGCTCATTTGTGAGGGGTCAGTGAGTGCTAACCCCCAGCTTCCCCACAGCCCACCTCCCTGCCTCTTTCGCTCTGGGTCCTGCAAACCACTGAGGGGAAAGGGGTCTGTCCAATCCCATTAGGCAGAAGGCCCCTGGAGGGCAGAGTGCTGACGTGGGGCTTGCTGCTGACGCTGCTGAGGAGGCCCATGCCCCCCCTCCCCAGCCTGGGGCCCGCACTTGGGTCTTCTCCAGCTCTAGGAAAGTCAGGAGGGGTTTTTGTCCAGCGACCACCCAGGCGGGCAGCCTAGGAGCAGCTCAGAGGCCCAGGCCCCTTCCCTGGGGATGCTCAGGAGAGAAGGCCCAGCATGACAGCCCAAGCAGCACTGCTCCGATCCTGGGCCTGCGTCCTCCCTGCCCTCACCCTCCTAATTCCTTGTCCTTGCTTTTCCCTCTCTCTTCTTCCTGTCCCTCCCCACATTATCTATGGCACAGGTCATATGCTCCTTGTCCTTATTTTACAAAGGAGGCCTAATGGAGACTTTGCCCTTGAAACTAAACCCTCAGATGGCCGTTTCACCTGTAAATCCTGGCTGGCATCCGCACAGGCCAGTGCCACGGGGGTTACCACGCTTGGCCTGTAGCACCTTGCTCCTGCTCAGACCCCTGGG